CGGTTTTCACGGATGCATCATCGGCCAATCAAAATCCAATAAGGGCATTGCACCCATGCAGGCAAATCAAAGCCAGCCACTGAACAATGTTCGTTCACGTTCGCCATGGCCCATTTTCGTTCATGTTCGCAATCACGTGGGACTTAACAAGCACTTGTAATTTCAAACCGTGGCAACAAATCCACAACGAAAGCGATGAAAGCCGAACGAAAATTTTAGAGAAATCCAATCTCACAAGCCACTCCAAGGTGACGTCCGCAGTCGCTTTGTCTACAAACAAAATTTCCGTTCCGAAGTGCGTTTCCAGCCTATAATTTTTCCTGAAACCGAAAATACCGCGCGGTTGCTAAATGTTTACCGGGCCGGCAGTCTTAGTTGTGAATTCCTTCAAATGCGCCAACCCTGGACAGAAATTTGACATAATTTCTCTTCGATGGGTGTCATTGGCAATTGTCGGTCGGTGCGTTCCACTAACGTGGTCTGGAATGTCAGCAAATTCCTTGTGATCGTAAAAAATATAAAGCATTAATTTGTGATTGATTGAATGAATGAATAATTGATTCATTGATTGATGGATTGATTAATTGATGGATTGATTAATTGATTGCGTGATTGATTGATTGATTGATTGATTGATGGAGTGATTGATTGATTGATGGAGTGATTGATTGATGGATTGATTGATTGATTGATGGAGTGATTGATTGATTGATTGATTGATTGATGGAGTGATTGACTGATTGATGGAGTGATTGATTGATTGATTGATTGATTGATGGAGTGATTGGGTGATTGATTGATGGAATCATTGACTGATTGATGGATTGATTGATTGATTGATGGAGTGATTGATTGATTCATTGATTGATGGATTGATTGATTGATGGATTGATTGATTGCGTGATTGATTGATTGATTGATTGGTGGAGTGATTGATTGATTGATTGATGGAGTGATTGATTGATGGAGTGATTGATGGAGTGATTGATTGATTGATTCATTGATTGATGGATTGATTGATTGGATGATTGATTGATTGCGTGATTGATTGATTGATGGAGTGATTGATTGATTGATGGAGTGATTGATTGATGGATTGATTGATTGATGGAGTGAGTGAGTGATTGATTGATTGATTGATTACTTGATGGAGTGATTGATTGATTGATTGGTTGATTGATTGATTGATTGATGGAGTGATTGGTTGATTGATGGAGTGATTGATTGATTGATTGATTGATTGGTTGGTTGGTTGATTGATTGATTGATTGATGGAGTGATTGATTGATTGATGGAGTGATTGATTGATGGGGTGATTGATTGACTGATTGATTGATTGATGGAGTGATTGACTGATTGATGGAGTGATTGATGGAGTGATTGGGTGATTGATTGATGGAATCATTGACTGATTGATCGATTGATTGATTGATTGATGGATTGATTGATTGGGTGAGTAACTGATTGATGAATTTGTCGATGAAACAAAGAAAGTCGCACTTGTTGAAGAGTCACACCCCTGAAATTGTCCCACAAGCCCGGGCAGCACAACCTCCGGCAGATGAATTTGCAGACATGACGGAGCAATTATTTGCATTCGAACAACCGGAATTCTTTTAGCAGGATCTATTGGCTGATTGGAAAAGCTACGTATAGCAATACGACGACTCAAAAGCAAACGCGCTACATACCTGTTGGTCTCATAACAGAACTTTTGAAGCACGCGCGCGTCATTTTTTACAATCATATACAGTCTGATTGTTGCGTTTGTTCCACGATATATGATTTTCAGGCCATGCCGCTCATGAATGGACAAAACAGCTCATTATATTGGCAAAGAAATTGCGAGCTCCACAACCCTCAGGTTTTCGACCGGTCGCTGTTGTCCGTCTGTTATGCAAAACATTTGGGTACATGATCCTGCGAGGGTAAACATGTTTGATATGATGCAACCGGAAGGACAAGGTGGTCCTTTTCCGTTGCTTTTTACAATTTCGTATTTCCAAAGGTGTAACCCCGGTCTGGAAATATAATATCTGCAATTATCACTTGGAAAGACGTCCAAACGAACGTGTCTATAGACGAATTCAACAGTACAATCTCCAGCGCCCTGAACTTCGTTTCCGGGTGTAGCTAACATGCCGCATAGCACCAGAACGCATAAAGAAACCTTCCATTTGAAATGTGGGCGCGCATGTCGCTGAAAAATATCACAGGCACAGGAATTCCAAACTGCTTACTGCTGGCACACATCCGAGTGAGAAGTTGGAAACCGTTAGGTGCGAAACGCCGGCTCTGGAGCACAAAATTGACATGATTGTGAGCCATGGAGATATATTGACCCCATGTTTTGAAGTTGTCATTACGTGCCGTTTGTGGATAATGTTCCCCTACTATGTTTAAACCTTTTCATGCTGTGGTCCGTTGCGTCTAGGGACATATTGGTTCTAGGAAAGTCTTTTTCGCAATTTGAGCAGCCCACACGGACGAAGGTGGAAGGGGAACAGTCTGTAAGCAAATGATTATCAGACTAAGCCTGCGTGTTTTGCGCAAATGTGATGTTTCCTGAAACGATTCTGCGTGTCATTTCGTGCACAAGAGCTACGAAAGCGCTCTTCGTCAACCCGTCGGAGCTGGATTTCCTATACATTGCAGGGCAACTCTTGGTGTGCCTGGCGTACCGTTGTGACTCACAACTCCTCGGTTGCGTGGTTACTTGTTTCTGCGTGAGAAATTCTTGCCAGGCCCCGAATGACGCAATCTTGCTGTTTCAGTGGCACAGCTAAAATGCCTGGCAGGTCGTGCATCGCTCCCTTTTCTTGCCGTGACAACTGGATTGGTCAAAGGACATAATCCAGGTATACCTGGCCTGACACCACAGCTGGCCAGTTGCCAACTTGCCAGAAGATTAAGTAAATCGAACCTCTGTGAAAAGAGCTTGTTGCATTTTTTTGACTTGAAACAAACATAAACAAAGACGAAAAAACATGCTATGGTTGTGTGCGGGCTTTTGATGTGTTGTGTTTTTTTTCTATCCATCTACTCCTTGACATGGTCGCAAGCTGGACACTGAGTCTAACTCAGCCACCAAAGGCGTCCATCGCAACATGGAGCACTCCCCACCTGATGGAACTAGCACTCGAACTGGTCATGGGCCAAGTAGCTCTGAACTAAATTGGAAGCTAGTGGGAAAACAAAACAACCAACAAAAATTTAACAAAATGGACATCATTTCATCATTTCTTTCAATCTAAAAGTATCAGAAGCAGCTGAGCTGAGCAAGTCACAATGGCCATCTTGTGCTCAATGCCAAGTCTAACTCTGGGCCGCTGCCAACGACCTGCACCAGGAACGAGATGAAATGAGCGGTCTCTTCCAAAAAATACAGGGCGCCAAAGTCCGACAAGTCATTCCAATGCCACCTGCTTCAACGCCTGCTGAAGTATGTCAAGAATTTGCAACCGCTCCTGCACAGCGGGGGAACCAAACGTGTTGTCCTTTTCCACTTGTCTTTGCAATGCACAGAAATGGAAACTAAAATCCACCTGCGGATCAGGAGACGCCAACGCCTGTCAAGAACTGCGAGTAATGACAGCAACAGCCTTGAAACTTCACGAAACAATTCAGCTGAATCCTCCAATTCACAGCCCACCTGTGCTGCCAATGCAGTCAGAGAGGCAAGAGCAGTCTCCTCAACTCAAGAGCTAGATGGACTTGGATGGACTGAAATTGAGTCAACAAACTTGACTCCAAAAACAAAAACATGCATATGCAGTATACACAATATGTGCAGAATATATATATACATATAAACACTGTATATATATATATTGTGAAATGTATAAGTATCCACCAGACATATCCAACATCAAACCAGTGACATGCAATCCTCCATTCAGGTGAATCCACATTCATTCTTGCTTTCTGCATTCCGCAGACACGTGGCTGCGGTCAGCCCAGGGATAGGTTGCTTAGTTTGCATCCGTGGTGGGAGTGGAGTGCCTTCGCCATTTGGAAGATAGATCGTGGCCGATCTCTATCATAGCTGTGGCCAGCTCGACTTACCAACCTTTTCCAGCGTTTCTGATTTGACACTTCAGCGGCAGGCACAAAACAGATTGCTGCTGATTGTGGGGCCCATTGGAACGTTTCTGGATTGACAGTTTTGCTTTGAGCTACCTCTGTGAGCCATTCACATTGGTAGCGGAGCCCCAATTGCTCCGGGGCACCGCAAATTTTGACTGGCTTGTGAACAAACATCAGGTGCTGATTCAGTTGCTTACAAGAAGGACATGGCAGGCGAAGAATCAACAGGTGAATTTTCCAAGTCCGTGTCCAACCAACTGGCTTCATTAGTTCCTACGTTTGACCCTTCCAAGGATGACTTAGAGCAGTATGTTCAGAAGATCGAAATGCTTTCTGAGATCTGGCCAGCAGAGAAACTGAATGAGTTGGCAACTCGATTAGTGCTGAATGCAACCGGAGCTGCGTTCCAGAAGCTTCAATTGCAAAAGTCCGAGATCATGACCAACTCCAAAGAAGGTATCCAAAAGCTGGTAGCCATCCTAGGTGGACAGTGGGGCAAAGTTGGTTTGGAGAGGAAATATGAAAGTGTGGAAAAAGCTTTGTTCAGGTGTATCCAAAAGAGCGATGAATCCAATGATTCCTTTCTGGCTCGAACGGACATCTACTGGACAGAGTTGCTTGCCAAAAAGATGTCTCTTGAAGAGATCCGTGCCTACGTTGTGTTGAGAGGCTCACTTTTGACGCAAGATGACAAGAAGAGAGTGATTCTGGAGAGTGATGCATCAGGCTCTGGACAGCTTGACATGACTAAGGTGAACCAATCAGTCCGAATGCTTGGCTCAGGATTTTTTCATGAAATGACAGGTGTAAAGAAGTCACGTGGTAAGACTTATGATGCTTCTGCGTTGAACGTTGATGATTCCGAAGAGTTTGATCAACCTACTCTTGCTGCTGAAGATCTAGGTGAGGATGAGATGCTTGAGGTCTTGTTGCAAGAAGGAGATGAAGATGCTGTTTTCATCACCGATTATGAAACAGCGATGACAGAGACAATTCAAGATGACCCAGAACTTGCTGCAGCCATGAATACATATGCAGATGCTCGCCGACGATTGAGCGAAAGGTTCAAGAACCGAGGTTTCTGGCCCGTGCAGTCAGGTAAAGGTCGTGGTAAGGTCTTCAAAGGTAAGGGAAAGAACAGTCAGCAGAAGGGAAGCCGGAAAAGCCTTCAGCAGAGGATCATGGAGAGCTCATGTCGCATTTGCGGCAGGCGTGGACACTGGAAGGCCGAGTGTCCAGACCGTCCAAGAAACACCACAAGCACCTCCGGCTCAACAGCGCCGGCTATGACCTCTACCACAGCTGAAGCGGATAGTGATCTCATGTCTTTGGAGTTTATGCAACTGCCTGTGATTCCTGACACTGCACTTGATGATGAGCCCAGTCCGCAGAAAGCCGAAGCCATTGTGAATCATGTGATTTTTCGGGGTAAATCTTACTTAGTAAGAAAAGGGGTAAATCAAGATCAAGTTCATAAGCCAGGGGATAACAAGAACCATGCCACAGGGGTAGTGCCGTCCATGCCACCGAGGAGGGATTTTCAGAACCGTGAGAGTACATCGAAAGCCATGACAGCCAGCTGGAATTTTTCTAGCACCGAACTCGTAAGAGACGAGTTGGCCCTGTTTGCAACCCACGGGACTTATGGTATCTTAGACACAGGTGCCACCAAATCAGTCGTGGGAAGTGACCTGGTTCCCGATTTGCTTCGTCAGCTTCATCCCAAGGTTCGAGAGCAAGTGAAACGTTGCCGATGTTCAGTGACATTTAAATTTGGTAACCAAGGCACACTCGAGAGTGAACATGCCATAGTGCTACCCATAGGTAACTTGGGCCTTAAGATTGCCATTGTGAAAGGCCAGACTCCCTTGTTGCTTTCCAACACCTTGCTCCGGACCTTGAAAGCCCAGATTGACATTGAACGCCAGCGTCTGCGCAGCCCAGTTTTGAATCAATCAGTGCAACTTCAGCTTAACAGCCGTGGTTTGTTTCTTGTTGATTTGAACGAACTTGCAATGAAGGCATCCAATCAGATTTGCACAGCCGAGACCTTTTCTCATTTTGACACCAACACCGCCGGCCCATTCAATGAAAAGGAAGCTGATACTACCGACAGTAGTCAAATCCGAAGGGGTCCCAGTTTTGACAGTAGCCAACAATTTCACAATTTGCACTGCACTTTTTCAAATGATTTCACGAACTCATCAGAACATCATTCATCCCCCATGCAAGACCAATGCACAGATCGGAATTTTTCCAAGACATTTCACAGTGTTCATCATCAATCAGATGGAACATCCAATTTGCAAGATTCAGGATCAAAAGTCAGTGGCCAATCCACAGCATCCTGTTGCGAAACGATTTCCCATGACGTTGGCCGACCGCTTTGCCAGGGTTCAGAGACAAGTTCAGGAACCCATCCTGAGCGACGAACTGGAAGCGTTCAAGGCTCTCTCCTTCGAGGATCAGTGCCACTCCGTTGTGACGTTTGGGAAAAGCCATGTAGGGAAGAAATTTCTGGAAGTTTGGCACCAGGAGCCGAGTTGGCTGCAGTGGGTGCTGAAGACATACGAAGGGTCGACGAAGCTGGATCACCTCAAGCTGTTCCATTTTGTCCAGGTGATGCTGGAACAAGAGGAGTGCGGCTTGACTCCCAAGATCGACCCCAAGAGCAATGCCCAGCCAAAGGCCAAGGCCAAGAGCAGCTGCCGGCTGCCCCATCCAGAGGTCCCAGTGGAGACCCATCTCACGACCGAGGAGGACGAAGAACCATGGGACATCACCAGCCACCAGCCCATTCAGCACGAGGAGATCGAGGCCTTGCAGACCAGGATGCTCAATGTAGAGAATGCCCTGACAGAGATTCTGACACTTTTGCGTCCAAAGTAGATCCATCAGCCACGACACCCGCTGAGATCGACAGATCCATGCCAGGGGTTTTCACTTCCGATGATGAATGTGATGACACATTGTACACTTTCACTCAACAGCAAAAGTTTAAGGTGCAGTTACAAGAACTTATCAAGCGGTTTGAGATTGAACTTTTGGTTGCCCAACATCGCAATTCCAAACAAGGCAAACAGGTTCACTTGGTTGAAGTTTTCTGCAGTTCGGACAGTGAACTGACCCGCCAGACAAATCAACTTCACGGAAGTGCCATGCGGTTTGGCCTGGCTCAGGGTGATTTGGCAACTCCTTCCGGGAGGAAACAGCTGTTTGAAACCATAGTGACCCACAAGCCTAAACATGTTTGGTTGAGTCCCACGTGCGGTCCTTGGTGTTCCTGGAGTGTGTTGAATGAAAGCAAATCCATGATGATGTTTCAGCATATTCAACAACTTCGTGAAGAACATCTTTATCAACTTGCACTGGGCATTGTATTGTTGCGACACCAAACCACCAATCGACGACATCTTCATTGGGAACAACCCCGAAGGTCCTTAATGTTCAAAAGTCCTTTACTGCAAGAGTTGACCAAGTCTACGTATGCGGCCGAGTTTGACATGTGTCGCCTGGGAGAGCTGAAGGATCCCATTTCACAAAAGTTGATTCAGAAAAGCATGACAGTTCAGACCACTTCCCAACACATGTATGAGAGTCTTCATGGCCGACACTGCAATAGGAATCATGAACATCAACGACTTGAGGGCAGTTTCAGATTGGACAATCATCGAGTGCAACGTACTGCCTTTTCAGAGAAGTATCCACGGAAATTTGCTCGAGCCGTTGCCAAGATTCTAGTGAATGTTAGCACAAACACTGAGCCTCCCAAGGGATATCAAAGGTGGAATCATGTTTTGGCAGCCAGTGACATGAAGCGCAAAGGTTCCGAAGGCGACAGCCTTGCTCGAGCTGCCAAGTATTTGAAGCCAGCTGCAAAACTGATTGCCCCTCATGAGATGACATCCAAAAGACGCCGTTTGAATCAGAAGGTTTCTGAACAGAGCGAGAATCAACAAGTTTTAGAACTGAGCCAGGACATCATGCAACTTGTATCCAAGGAACTTCCAAGGGTTGGCCGAAAAGAAATCACCAATACCACCATCAAGAGAAAGATTCAAGAATTGTTTGATGACAAGACGATTCTCAGAGTCATAGCTTGCAAGGGTACCGAACGAACCCTTGAACCACCCAAAAATTTGATCAAGGGAGAAGCACCTTTTCGCAGAGCAATTATACAACCTCGAGGCACATCAGATTTTTTTTTCCATGTTGCCCACAGCAAAGTGGAAGATCAGTGGGAATCATGGGAATCACTTGCAAATCGACAGTTGTCCCGACCGTCTCATGCCAGTAGGGTAAATATAACAGTATTTGCAGCCAATCCCATGGATGATCATGCCAGCGAGTTGCCACCCAATGGGGGCAACGATTCCAGTGTGCCGCCGCCAGAATTCAGCAGTGACAGCAGCCAATCCAGGATTCCGGAAGAGTCCATGCATGATACTGCTGGTCCCGCACCCAACACTTCTGATTCTGGAAAGTATGTAGAGTTTCCACCTGGTGACATTTGCTCTCAACATGAAAAGATCGATGTCCAGAGCCAGAAACATGGACCCCGATTTTGTGCACTGCCACCGGAAGAGCGAAGCCTCTTGGTGCGTATTCATAAGAATCTGGGTCACCCTTCCAGCCAGGTATTGAGCCAAGCTTTGCGACAGAAGGGGTATCCCAGAACCATGATTCAAGCATTAGAGGATTTTCGATGTTCCACATGCATATCCCAACAAAAGCCAAAGATACCTCGACCTGCCACTTTGAAGTCTGAAACTGACTTTGCAGACAAGGTCTCGTGCGATGGTGTGACTTGGACGAACCAACATGGTCAAAGTTTCCACTTTTATCACTATCTAGATCATGGCACAAATTTCCAAGTAGCAACACCTGCGCCCAGCCGAGCTGCAGAGCAAGCAATGGAGAAATTCACAGGAGCATGGCTCATGTGGGCAGGTCCACCAAATGAGCTGATCACCGATGCCGGAACGGAGTTTTCCTCTGAAGTTTTTGGTCAATTCATGCAACAAAATGGGATCAAACTGACTGTGATTCCTCCAGATGCTCACTGGCAAATGGGCCGAACTGAAAGACACGGGGATATTCTTCAAGCCATGTTGAGTAAATATGAAATGGACCATCCAATTAACACCTATAATGATCTCCAAGTTGCGTTAGCCATGTGTACAGCTGCCAAAAATGCTTGCAGTCTTAGACATGGGTTTTCCCCGGATGTTTTGGTGTTTGGAAAGGGTTTACGAGTTCCTGCGTCTATCACGGGCGATGACGATCTTCCGGCTCATTTGACAGCTACAAGTGATCATGCTCAGGGCATCAGATTTCGTCAACACCTGGCGATGCGGGAAACAGCCCGGAAAGCTTTCCATGAAGCCGACAATCAGATGTCCTTGCGAAGAGCAATGTTACGCCGAAGTAGACCAAATCGGGGTGAGTACAACCCCGGGGAATGGGTGATGGTTTGGAAACTCAGGGAACAAAGAAGAACTTGGGTAGGCCCTGCCAAAGTAATTCAACAAGATGGTCCCCATCAGGTGTTTTGTCTCTTCCAAGGAAACCTGATGCGGGCAGCACCCGAACACGTCCGTCCAGTCAGTGCAGCAGAGGCTCAACTCATCCCTGAGGATGAACACCAGCCAGACTCCATAATGGTGCCAGGTACAACTCGAAATCCTTCCACACTGAACACTCAGGAACTACTCAGTGACGCCAATAACCCCAATGTCATTAACCCAACAAATCCTCCTATTGTAACCATTCCCCCTCATACTACTACAGCAACACAGGAGAATGTGAGTCGACCTGCATCATCTCAAGAACAACCCGATCAAGAACCTGAGGAAAGTGCCGAAGAGACCCCAATGCCTGAATTGCCTGCACATGAGATCCCTGTACCTGACACCGATGAAGAAGGCGATTCACTTTTGTGCGACTTACTGATTTGCCAAGACATGGATCACAACCGTCATCTGCAAGATGATCCCAAGCTGGCCTGGCGATTTGAAGTTGAGGTGCCAGAGAGCGATATGAGTAATGACATCAGTGCTGATCAGCTTGAAACCATGATATTTCTTGCCACCAATCAGAAGAAACAACGCACTGAGGTTAAATTGCGCACCTTGACCGACAGCGAACGGCAAGAGTTCGACAAGGCCAAGCAAACCGAAGTAGAAAATTGGCTGAAGACAGGGACTGTTTGCAGGATTCTTCGAAACCGTTTGGCACCAGAGCAGATCCTGCGATGCCGGTGGATTTTCACCTGGAAACCCATCGAGGAAAAACCTGAACAAATCAAACAAGGGAAGACCCGAAAAGCCAAGGCACGCCTGGTAGTCCTTGGGTTTCTAGATCCTGCTTTAGAATCCCTTCCCAGAGGCAGTCCCACCATGAGCCGACAGTCCAGAATGTTAATACTACAGCTCATAGCCTCCATGCAATGGGATCTTTTCAGTTTTGATGTCAAAGCAGCATTTCTCCAAGGTAGTACTCAAGAGGGAAGAACCATTGCCATTGAACCAACACCCGAACTTCGCAAAGCAATGAATTTGAAAGAGAATGAGGTGTGTCAACTTGCAAAGTCAGCTTATGGGTTGGTAGACGCTCCTTTTCTTTGGTTTAAGGAATTGGACCGTACTCTCAGGAAATTGTCATTTATTCCTTCGCCATTTGATCCTACAGTGTATCTGTTGCCTGAACCTGGTCAAAGCACACCTGCAGGAATCATTGGAGTCCACGTAGATGATGGATTGTGCGGAGGTAACAGATACTTCCATGAGAAACTTGCCCAGCTTGAAGCCATTTTTCCATTTGGATCCAAAAAGACAAAATCATTTACATTCACAGGGATTGACCTTCACCAAAATGCCAACTACAATATCACTATGTCCCAAGAAAAATATATTTCCAAAATTGAACCTATTCACATTGATTCCACCAGAAAACATTCCTTTGAACTCCAAGTGAATCCAGATGAAAAACAAGCCTTGCGAGCGTTGATCGGTTCATTGCAGTATGCAGCAGTGAACACTCGCCCTGACTTGTCCAGCCGACTTAGCCATTTGCAAAGCACCATCAATTCAGCGACAATTCAGAACCTGATCGATGCCAACCGTGTGTTACACGAAGCCAAACGACATAAAGACACCACAATTACGATACAATCAATACCAATCTCCAAATTACGTTTCCTTGCATTTTCAGACGCATCATTTTCATCAAAGAAAAATCCCGACTCACACACGGGCATGATGATCATGACAACTCACGAGAAGATTGCCGACAATGTACAGAGTCCAGTGTCTCCTATTTCTTGGGGCTGTAAGAAAATTCAGAAGGTCGTGGTCTCAACACTGTCAGCAGAAGCAACTTCTTTGAACAGTACCTTGGATCAGTTGTCATGGCTGAGGTTATATTGGGCCTGGATTTTGGATACCACTACAAAATGGAAAGAACCCAAATCAACACTGAACGATCTGCCACAAACAATTACCACTGCAACTAGCCGCAACACAGATATCACCGTTACAGATTGCAAATCCCTATTTGACCTGGTATCTCGAACAGCCGTGCCTAACTGTCAAGAGTTTCGGACGCAGCTATTGGCACGGTCAATCAAGGACCTCTTATCGGAAGGAGTTGACATCCGATGGGTCCACAGTGGTGCCCAGCTGGCAGACGCTCTTACGAAAGTGATGGAAACAAGTTTTTTGAGACAGACCCTGAAAAGTGGATACTATATTCTCCATGATGAAGACAAAATTCTCAAAGATCGTGCTACAGCTCGCAACAGAATCAAGTGGCTACAGAACTCTACAAAAGAAGAAAACAATGATTCTTTGGGAGTGTGAAATGTATAAGTATCCACCAGACATATCCAACATCAAACCAGTGACATGCAATCCTCCATTCAGGTGAATCCACATTCATTCTTGCTTTCTGCATTCCGCAGACACGTGGCTGCGGTCAGCCCAGGGATAGGTTGCTTAGTTTGCATCCGTGGTGGGAGTGGAGTGTCTTCGCCATTTGGAAGATAGATCGTGGCCGATCTCTATCATAGCTGTGGCCAGCTCGACTTACCAACCTTTTCCAGCGTTTCTGATTTGACACTTCAGCGGCAGGCACAAAACAGATTGCTGCTGATTGTGGGGCCCATTGGAACGTTTCTGGATTGACAGTTTTGCTTTGAGCTACCTCTGTGAGCCATTCACAATATATATACATATATATATATGCAGAATATATACAGAATATATAGATCTACTGAAATCCATAACTACCTCTCGAGATTTCCAAGCTCAGGTGTGGACAGATCCACTCTGCGGGCTTGTAGACAAATAGGCCGTTGCTGCCTCTTGGGCTGCCTGTCACAACTTGTCTGAAGAGATTGGGTTAAGAGAATGCCAAAGGCGCAAAGACTTTGTGACATCAGTGACCAAGAGCACATGATAGAAGGTGGAAACAGACCTGCAGTGTCGTGTATTTGTTGCTGGTTCAGTTCCTTTTCTGGCTGCATTTAGCTGAAAGGACAAGACTGGCAAACACATCAACCGGCCCCTCCATCTCTGGCAGCAAGCGCAGCCATAAGCTGGGCCTAGCAGTCAAACATGACAGGCTTTGCTGCAACAGAGTTGTTTGCTGCTTCTGTGACAGGTTTTCTACTGACTTTGAAAAAAATCTGCGATGTCATGTCACCTAAGAATTTTCATGAAATGCGTCGTGCCACGTGCACCTGAAATTGTCGAGCAATTGGAGAGTCTAGCCCATCAACTCTCTCATCGTTAAGGGCCTTGGTAGGCCACGCTCTTCCTTCTACTTCGTTTTCCTTCAACTCATTGCCATGAAACACCACTGGAAACTCCGCTGCTAAGACTGCTAAGATCCCAACACCCAACTGTGCCTTGCGTTGGTTTATCTGAGCAAGCCTGCAGATGCAAGACTAGGGGTTGCCAGTATGCTCTGCAGTGAAACGAAAAGCACTTCGGCTTTTGTGAAACACAAAGCAATCTGAACCATTTGCATTTCCAAATCTTGCTCAAAAGCTAGGCTATATCATGCTGTATCTATACCCTTTCAACCAACACTGAATCCTCTGTGTAGCATCTTTTGCATTCAGTATCCTGCAGTCCCAAGACTTGATCCAAGAACTGCCATTCTAGCTCTGGCAGGATCTAGCAGAAAGCAGTTGGAAGATTGAGAAGGGTAACGGAGCTAAACAGAGTATCTATGAATCTATGATATACATATATACATATATACATATACATATATATATATGTGTGTAATCATTGATCATAATAATGGCAATAATACGTAGTAATAAATAGTAGCAGTAGCAGTAGCAGTAGCAGTAGCAGTAGCAGTAGCAGTAGCAGTAGCAGTAGTAGTAGTAGTAATAATTACTATTATCATTATTACTATTAATAATAATAATAACAATAGTAATATATATATAATGAATAATGAATAATGATATATACTGACATTATATGTCATTACATGTGATGTGCAGATCTCGAGGTGAGTTCTCAGCAAATCTTTGGCTCAGCTGAGATGTTTGAGGTCAAGGCAGGGCAAGCAGGGGCCATCCAGTTTGCGACAGGGCAGCCTTTCCACTGCAATTGGTACAGCATGGTACAGCTGGATGCAACAAATCATGATAAATCATGCACTTCATATGGAGATCCGACACTGGAAGGGCTTTGAGCCACCAACCCATGGCATGTCCAACAGCATGGTGAGTACCTGCTGCAGTCTGAGCTCTTCGACCTCTACGTGTACTGACTGCAACGCTAAAACTGAATCAAAAGAAGCATGTGAACTCTGAACACAAAAACACCATGTGGCAAGTGCACGAAACATGTTAATACCTTCTCGGGCCTGGGAAACAAACTGTTTAGAATCGAATCTGCGCAAGGACATGCAAAAAAAACAAAATCTTACTATGTACCAGCAATTCCTCTCGAACAACGTCCAAAAAAATCTTGAGGCACCTTGAAGAATTTCAGAGTACCAAAGGTCAAGACTGACTCACGAGGATATTATGATTATTATGCCATCCAGTCACAACGAGAGATGGAGAACATCACCGACTTTGTTGCGAGGAGAAATTCCAGGGCACTGGTGATGCCAGCTGCTCAAAGCCAGAAAATAGCTGAAGCAGTACCTGCCACTGACACGGGAATGGGCTGAGAATGCGTTGAATTCGCTTGTCCACGTTTGGCAAAGAGCTCTCCCAAGCCCAACACTTGGGGCTCTTCAATTGAAGCGAAGGAAAAAAGCTGAATGGTCCTTACTGGATCCGAAGTCAAGGGCAGCCGCTGACCATGCTGAAATCGACATGTTGCACTACGTGTGCTGCAAGAAACTCTGAGCCTTCCACAACTTTCCCAGACCACATTCTTCTGCTGTCTGTCATGTGCATCACTGTTTTCAAATCTGACAGACATCCTTGAAATGCTCTCAAGTTCAAAGTCAGTAGCCTGCGGAGTCATAGCATTGGCCGACTTGATCAGCTGGAGGGCTGACTCCATTGTCATAGACCTGCAGAGTGTTGTGGTGCACCAAGGATTCCAAGGATTTTTGGATTTCCCCAACCAGACTCTGAGAGCATTGCAACTGTTCTCGTGGTATTGGTTGCCATGGCCTGCAGATAACGTCTGAAGTTGTCATGGTTCAAGTGTCTCGTATGAAAGACATCCACATTGAGCATGAAATCATTGTAAAAGCACTGTCCCAAACTGGGGCAGAGGCAAGGTCTCCTGAAACACATTCCGGAAGATTTGTTTGGCAACGCCTCGGAGCCATGGTGCTCCCAGTCCTGGCCTTTTTAGTATCATACCATCATATCCTTCTGACCCATGCAGCCATTGTGGACTTAAGGCTGTGTTAGTGATAAGTGATACTCATCTTATGGTGCAGAGCATTGCTGCAATTCTTGTCCTGTTTTTGTTGGCGGAGGCCCCTTTTTCAAGTCTTCCCTAGTATCACTGGTTTGGTATCATTGGCTTGGTATCATTGGCTCGGAATCTTCTTGTCTTGAGGAGACTTCAAGATTGGATAGTACCAGTAAGGCGCTGCATACAAAAAGGAGCTGAAATCTCCGCCGAGACGCTCCAAATTTCCCGATGAGGACCGACTGTGCAAGCAAGGTCTTCCAGAGTCCTGGAGGTCATGATTCGGGGATGGCCAAGTTGCCAAATTGCTTTTGGCACCTTGGCAGTTGATTTCTCATTTCTTCTTGGTCTCTGTACCTGACGCCACATGAACAATCTACGCGATCGATCGCTGTCCTTTCATCAGCCTCCGGTGCCTGCAGTGGTTGGACCGCACTTCAGAACTGAATCCACGTCCATTGAAGCTGAAGCACACAGCTGTCTCACAGGTTGTAATCCTACCTGGCTCTGCTGGAAGGGTGTGCCCATAGAAGCTTGCCTTGACAGCAAAATTGATCGTTCAGCGCAACTACTGAGAAATATGACAGAAGGCTGTGCAAACCCAAGGCTTGAAACTCTGAGGCCTTGGCCCTTGGAACTGCTGTCCTGGCATACCAAAGCCTGGCTGTCCACCTGCGTTGAGTTGTTGCCCTCCAGGAAGACCCATACCAGGTAAGCCGCCAAAGCCACCCATCTGCCCACCCATCTGGCCCATCTGGCTGCCACCCATCTGCCCCAAACCCATCTGGCCCATCCCCATCTGACCCATCTGCCCACCCATCTGACCTCCACCCATTTGCCCGCCCATTTGGCCAATCCCCATCTGACCACCACCCATACCCATCTGACCCATACCCATCTGCCCCATTTGGCCGCCCATTTGGCCGCCCATTTGGCCGCACATTTGGCCGCCCATTTGGCTGCCCATCTGGCCGCCATTCTGGCCTCCCATTTGGCCCATCTGGCCACCCCCCTGCCCCATCTGGCCGCCCATTTGGCCCATGTTCATTTGACCCATCGGCTGGGCCCCAAGACCCAATCCAGTTCCCATCTGCTGCTGGACACCTCCAAATCCTTGACCACCTGGTGTTGATCAACCCGCTGTGGATAATTTTGGAGACCGTCACAAGGCATCAAGAACTCTGTTAAGCGTGGCACCGCCCATGGGCGAACCAGGAAACTGCATGCTCCGTAAATCTTGCCTTGGTGCAAGAACCTGTGAATCCTGTAAGCCATGGCAACAATTATTGTTTGAAGCAGAGATTGAGAGCTGGACAACAAAGAGTTTGGATTTGGACTAGGAGCACCCATCATTCTCTGGTCCTTGAGGGAGCATGATCCAAGACGTGAGGCGGAAAAGAAACGAAGATCCCACCAGGAGGGCCCCAAGAAGGCTCTGGGCTACAGCAGGGAGCAAAGCGACGGGACAAACTCTTTACAAGTCTTAAGTCTTATGAGTCCTACTATGAGTCCTATGAGTGCCCTCAATAGGTGCAGCTGCATCCAGTGTGTCCTGTGCAGCTGCAGCAGACAGCAGCAGCACCAACCTGCAACACGATGCCCCGTTGAACACCTTGCTTCAGCATAAATCCTTTCAGATCTCCAAGCAAGGCGACCATCTGTGAAATTGAATTGTTGCTCGCTTTTGGTCAGCCACGGAAACTTGCCAGCTCTCCCAGCCCTTAAAGGTACCTTTGGACAGAGCCAAGAAGCGCCTCAGACGGAAATGCAAAGCGATGAAGCGCATCCAAAAAATTGTCACAGTGACACATGAACCAAAGTCGACGGCCAAGCCACTGGACGCGCATCATGATTGATCATGATCAGTGGCAAATTTTGCCGGCTACAAGAGCATGCTTCACTTCTCAAAATGGCAACGTTCTGCACTTGGTTCGTACACTGTTTTGAGGTGATTCTACAGCATTAAACTTCATTAAACTTCATTAAACCTAGGTGCTTCATACTGTCATGGTTGATAGCTTGCGGAAGGTGTCTAGCTTCACATGTTGTTTCTGTCCTCAAAGTGAACTGGTGTGAGTGCTCTGCTTGACGGCGAGTCTCACCGCTGATGAACTTCCCAATCAAAGTCCTTGTGACATGGTAAAGGCATGTTCGTCTGGAACCGCTACACTCTGCAGCACCAGCAATGCCATGGTGAGCTTCCATGCTGCTAGTGTCCAGGTACAACTATGCACTTTTCGCTAAAGTGAAACATTTTCCCAACAGAAATCAATACATTGAATCCAAAGAAGCAGGATAGAGGTAGAATCTACTTTCATAAACATCTAAAGAATATCTATGTTTGCTCCGCAATAGCTTTCAGACTCGGCAGAAAAGTGAAGATGTTGTTTGTGACTTTCTTGTGACAATGACCAGAACTGTTGCTCCAACTTTGTTTGAAATCCTCACTGCCTCGGGTTTTATTTTGGATGAATCTGCCAATAAATACGACATTGCATTGACCACGGCGAATTCAATTCACTACAGCAAAGCTCGGTTCGGCCTCGCCAAATTAAATCTTAATCTACAAAGGAGTGTCAAACAGTCACCCCATCCTGCCCTGAAACAGAAATAAGACTGAAAAAAGCCTGAATGGGAATGAATAAAGCATGCAATCGTAGAGGAATGTATACGTCGACGTAGAATGACGTAGACGGGTTCTGCAACAGTTCCAACATGTTCCAACAAAGCCACATCAAAGCCACAAAGGCAGGTCTAGGCAGTACTGGGTCGAGCGTTTGTGTTCCTACTTCGCTTGGTCCACTTGAGGCAGACCTGGACCTGTCATCTATGTGCTGTGCGCCATGAGGCCTTAGCCGAGCTGTTCATGTTGTGTGCCCTGAATTGCAACCCACTGAAAGGACAAGTCACAGCAAATTGTCGGAATTCAACAACAAAGTCAGAGCTACACAAAGGATTAAAAAAAAAACATCACATGTTATTCCGAATAATTCCCAGGCTGATTTTGAAGTCTGTTCAGTCCAACATTGTAGCATATTGATGCATACTGACTGAGCTCAGATCTTGTTCAGCCTGCTGCCGACGGACAGCTGCAGCCTTTGGAGAATAAGAATTTCTAAGGCTGCAAAAAGTTGCAGGGGAAGGGGGTTGCGTTCTCCATTTAATTTCTACTAAACAGATGAATTGGTGCGGTCTACTTCAAAGTCGCATTGGTTTTTTTCTAAGGTCGATGTATTTCTGTGGCTGTACAGCAGCTTCAAAGCTTAGAACAGTCAGAACGAACCTGTCGAAATCAAAAGAGTTTCCGCTGTCGGCTTGACAAGCAGAACTCTTCGTCCTTCAGAGATTCTCCGAGTGTACCAGGCAGCTTTCTTTGTCTGCCAAGGGTTAGCTTCGGTCCACTTCAAGTTGACTCTGCTTTGGAGGCGTTGTCTTTGAGGGTCGCATTGAACCTTCGGCAGGACTCGCTTGAAAGTCAGCAACCCACATGTGAATGACAGTTTGACACACATAAATATACAGCATTAAATAACAGTCTGACAGCCGCGAAAGCGCAGCAATTCGGCACAATAGGGATCATATGAACCAAATGAACCTATCAGAAGAGGGGTCGCCGAGTCGCCAAAAGAAGAAACTCATACCATCTGACCTCATCTGATACCCATGGGCCCCCACCTCCTCGCTCAAAGATTGCGACGCCTAGAAGGACAAAGAGCGTCCCTGCCAGAACTTCCTACAGGGTCAACAAAATCCCTCTGCACTGACCTTTTCTTAAAAAAGAAGGGACAAACCAGGGAGGTATTTTGGAACATGTCAAACCAGAAGCCCTTGTGCTTCCTTCGGCATACTCTCACCCCAAAAGCCCATGGAGAGCGCGAGGAGAACTATTGTATTCAGCTTCCCGACAATCTGCATAGAGCTGGCTCCCAGTTGCTTGACGCTCATCAAGCCGAGAACATTCAAGATGGTGGCACTTAGGCAACTGATTAGAACGAAGAAAATAGAAGTTGTGGTAAGCTCATGAAAGGCAGATGTCAAACTTTCGGTTGTCACTGCATATGCAAAGGCCAGCAGGGTACACGGGGGAGCTGTCAAGGCCCAAACATGCATCGGTGAAAGCGATGGTGGCGATGCGCCATTCACTCCGCCTTTCCCTTGCTCCAAATCAACCCTGGACGCATACGCGGTGGGTTCTAAGAGCTGATCCTGCAAAACTGCTTTCACGGCTCGCAGGAAGACGGACATGGTGCAAAACAGAAGTCCAAAGAGAACTAAACCTGGATTTGCTCTTTTGAAGGCATTTAACAGGGAAAAAATGTATTTCCAGTAGATTTCCCAACCAAACAACGGTTGATTAAACCCCAATGGGAAAATATGGGAAAATAAAAAATAGAAAATCATCAGCTAATCTAATCCAAGTAAACTGTCTTCTTTTCCAGGATCTCCAGCTTCACCAATTGCTATGAATGAAGCACCACAAGTTGCTACTAGTACCCCCATCCAGCCATGTCTGCTGATTCTCCGGCCCAGAAAATGTGTCAAAATGGCCGTGATGATGGGTGCCATGGTACCAACCACCCCAGCAAGGCCAGCACCCATGTATAGCAACGAAGTGTTGTTGAACACGATGGACAGAGGCAGACTGGCTGCAATGGGGAGAACGAAAGTAAAAAACCTACGAGAGGATCCTAAGGATGCAGGGTTGCATCTGTGGAACAACTCTCCTTGAGCGGCCCAAAACATCCAGCTCACCAGCCAAACACTCAGAAAGTGCAAACTTGTGACAATGGCTGGATATCTGAACTTCACGCTGGAGGCCAACTCCTTCATGAGAAGTTGCGTGCAAACCAAAGATAGGACGAAAGAGCACGTACAAACCTGCACCACCAAGCCACGAGGTCTTACAATGATCCAAATGGCCGAAAAAATGGAGCATGTCACAGCAATGGCTAGCCCTTGTGCAAAATTCAAGTGACCCAGCTGTTCACCGGGTGGATCTTCCACACTTGGCATCGCTCAGCGCCTTTTGGCTGAGCACTTTGGCCCAGATATTGCCATTGGCCGCCATTGAACACCCATCCCTTGAGAATCGCAGCTGCAAGGGATATAATAGTTAGTATATACCATGGTTAATATATGGTTAATATAAACTCTGCAAACTGTTTGGAATATCTGTGGAAGTCAGCAGTGCACAGTGCAGTTTCTAGGCTGCGCACATTATCTCGAGTGACCATCAGTGCACGCTCCTCAGCTGACGCTCACGGCTACGAAAGAGAATCAAATTCAATTCCAATGTTCAAGAAATGAAGTTGATTCTTAGGTCTTAGGTTTTTACCTGCATATGATATGTATGTGTGTATATATACATATAGGAAATCCAGTCACAAAGCTGTCCTAAGGCCCTAAGGCCCTAGAGTCACGTCGAAGCCGCATTCCTTGGGATCCAGCGTCCATAAAGACCTGCCGCAAATCTCGTGTACACCGGTAACAAGTGCAACCAACCATATGAATTCCCATGATGGATTCTGATCCTATGTATGTATATATTATATTGTAATGTGTATATATATATATAATTATATTGAAGGGTAGTATAACTTCCAAACTCATCATCAACAAAAACACTGCTCGACTGTTTCAGTACTCCTGGTTTTGCATAGGGCCTGCAAAGACTTGTAGCCACCACCAACACGCACGACGACGTGTTCCCCTCTCTGCTGGATATAAACCTGAAAATGCGGATTGAATCGTTCTGAGACTTTCTAGGTGTAGACAACCTAACTCATCGACTACAATGTACATGTCATATATCAAATTTGTATTAAATTAAATATGTAACGTATGTCTTGTAGTTCAAGATATTGTGGAGATAGACATGTTCCGAAGCGCCGAACCAACGTCTCTCCTGTGAAGATCTTACATGGAATGAAGTCAACATGCGACATTGGGGAGGCAGCCGTGCCACGATCTCCAAACACCTGGAGACCAGCACGAGGAGCACTACACAAATGCCAATAAGATGCATCGTTTGCTTCAAGAAAACTATGGAGTAACTGTGGTGCCCACAAACTGCTGACAGGGGTGATTCTGCTAATTAGACCATTCATATTATACACGACAAGCGTGTGAACTTTGAGTGCTTCAACAGATGAGCAAATAAAACACCCAAGACTAATTTGCAGCTGTTCTTAGTCAAGCACATAGTAGTTTGGAGCGACTTTCTGAATCGACCTGTCATGGAAATCAAAAGCCACCGCTCTGTAGATGAGAAAGTTTCTACGCAGTGCTAAGCTACATTTTCAAGGTTCGGCGTCATATGTCGGTCTTCTAAATAAATCTCCATACACCAAGCGATTTGGTCAATCATGATCCAGATCTATTGGACATCAAATCTGCGATCAGGTCTCAGCATTTACGCTGATCAGCACTTGCAAGGTTGACACTGGGAAATCAGGATTGTGCTCCAAGTACCTTGCTGTGCAAAGCATTTTCACTGCACAGATTTGGCCCTGCAAGACCCTTCAATGGCACCCAAATTTGCAATTGGCGAAATTGCTAATTTAGCCCATCACAACATAAGAGACTCAAACATACTCACACCAAGTTGAGACATTTTGCCAAAATGATTCAAGAAAGAATATGATTTGAGTGAGAAAAAACCTTAGGCCACCACGTTCGGATTACTCTATCAATAGAATCTTCGTCGTCATAGTCGGCCACCTCCAGAAAATCATACATGTTCATGCAGAAACCACTAGCTCCAAGCGTCGTGCAAACCCTGCACCTCCAGATCTTCTTTCCTTGCCTGGAAAAACAGTAAAAGATATCAAGCAAAACAGAACTCATAGGGCTCCAGAGATCATCGATGCCTGGGGAAGACCGGAGCGTCGAGCAACACCTGCTGGTGGAAGGAAAACGACAAATTCCCCAGAACAAAGCCGCATCTGCAGGAAAAATGATCACATGTCCAGTATTCCGACACTCCCCGAGAACGCCCTCTGTGATGTCCATCTGCATCCAATAAATTTGACATATTCTACAGTATTCTACAGTAGTCTTGCTGGCTGGTGGTTTCAGCCACCCTGAAACATACGGTGGTCCATGGGGATACATACACACATACATATACTCACACACATCCACACATCCATCCATCCATCCATCCATCCATCCATCCATCCATACATAGTTCGATTCCATCACATTGTGTTGCATTGCATTGCATTACATTACCTTGCGTTACATCACAGTACATTATATTACACATGGCATAAGTCACATGCATTGCATACATTGCATAAATTGCCTACATTGCATGCAATGCATTCATGACATCAACGACATGCATGATATATGATATACATGACATACATGACATACATTCCATTACATACATACAGTTCACGCAGTAGATACATTACATGCATTTCATACATCACATTCATTGCATTCACTACATACATTGCATTACATTCATTACATACATTACATACATTACATATATTGTAAACATTACATGACATACATCATAAACATGTCATACATTACATACAGATACAAACCATACATACCATGGATACCATGACATACCATCACATACCATTACATATGGTTCATTTCATACCATGACATACGGTTACACACCATCACACACCATGACATACCATTAATTAAATACCATTACAATATATTACAATCCATTACATGCCATTACATTCCAGCCCATTACATTACAATACATTACATCACAAAAGGGTGCATGGTTTTGTGGGGATTTTGAAGGCATGGATTAGTTTTTGTCCAGAGGCTGCCCTCCTTCATTATGTCTTGGTTTTGATTGATTTTTCCATGCATTTCATCGATTTGTCCATGGATGCTGTCGATTTTTGATGGTGTTCATCGGTTTTTTGATTGTTTTCGATGAAACTATCGAGAAAAAAATCCGCCCGCGCCGAAGGTGCCGAGGCGTGGTAGTTTAGTAGCGAGGGATATGAACAGTCAACTGGTACAGCTTCAGCTGGGGGGGCCCAACATCGTCTAGATGCACCGTTTCGTCTCCGTTGGGCCGCACTTTGAACAAAGTTGAACCAAAGGATCCCAAGTTGCCCCATGTTGAACATGACACTTGGACTTTCATGCGCATCACTACATGGCATCAATTTGGGGTCCATCTGATCGATTTGGGCACAACTTCAGCCCAACATTACCAATTGGCTCCAACTTGGGCCAAGTTGGGCCCAAGATAGCGTGGCTTCGGTGGCAGCCCGGGTCCAAGCTGGTCCGATTTTGCCGATTCAATTCGACACGCTGAAAACTTAGATTTTTGCCGCTATTTCAGTTTCCAACGTTTTTTGGCTTTGCGGGGGGTTCGTGCGAGGCCCTGTTCCCCACATTGGGCCTGTCTTGGGCCCAACTTCACGATGCCCCTGCACAGGACCAAGCTGCACATGTCCCAACTTGCGCCTGAAGTTGCCCAAGTTTGGGTTCAATTTGGGCTCAAGTTGGAGCCAACTAGTGTGAGTTCGGCGCAAGTTACGCCCAAGTTCAAGTTTGACCCCAGTCGGCTTTTGGGTGGGCCAAGTCAAGTAGGCCGGCTTCTTTCCTCTCTGTCCTATTCCCTAGTTCAGGCAGCACTCGTCGCGAAGCGACTCGAATAGACAAACACCTTCAATTTCAACCTAAGACAATGGAGACATGTTCGTCGGTTTCTTTCCAAGTTTGTTTAGGGTTTTAGGGATACAATGCGCGCATATCAATAGCAATATACATGCATGGATGTATGTATGTATGTATGTATGCATGTCTGTCTGTCTGTCTGTCTGTCTGTATGTATGCGTGCATGTATGTATGTATGTATGTATGTCTGTATGTCTGTCTGTCTGTCTGTCTGTATGTATGTATGTATGTATGTGTGTACGTATGTATGATCATATACACATGTAGCATATTGCCGAAGGAAGTTTGGAAGTCAAACTTCCGACATCTTCCGACAATATGGACAGATGAAAAGCAGTGATGGGAAGAGTCAGAGAAGAGAAGAGAAGAGAAGAGAAGAAGAAAGAAGATCAAAAAAGAGAAAGTCTCAGAAGAAAGAAGATGGAGGTGCGTGAAAAGGTAGGAAAGTTGCGAAACACTGTGTTTTTCCAATGATTTGTAGCTCCGGAGGGTCGAAAAGTAGGCTCGCTACAGCGGCGGGTGCGGAGCAAGCTGGCCACATGAGAGATGAAAAGTTGCACGCCGTTGTGGGGCGAAGCAAAGTCAAAAGTGTAAAAAACTGACGGGTTCGGAGCACTTTTGGAACTTGAGATGTCGAAAAAGTGCGCGCCGTTGTGGCGCGAAGCACATTTCGAAGTCAAAAGTGTAAAAAAATTAACGGGTTCAGACCACTTTTGGAGGTTGAGATGTCGAAAAAGTGGATGCCGTTGTGGCGAGAAGCACATTTCGAAGTCAAAATGTACAAAACACACCAGGTCCGGACCACTTTTGGAAGTTGAGATGTCGAAAAGTGCACGCCGTTGTGGCACGAAGCACGTTCCGAAGTCAAAATGTTAAAAACACAACATGCTCGGACCACCTTTGGATGTTCAGATGTCGTTTCGCGTGGCAGGCGCAAGGGATTGTGCACCTTGTCAAAAGTGAGCAAAATGTGAGGGTTCTGTAGTATTTCCAAAAACGATGGCAGGCGTGGGACACTTGAAGAGGATCTGCAAAGATGCATTTTCCGTGGCAGGCGCAGTACAAGAGACATGTTCATCAGAGATGTTAGGAGGTCCGGGCACTGATTTCCTGGGGTTGCATTTTGGAGCATCAGATCTTCAGGTTTGCTGAGATGATTTTGCGTGACAGGTGCAGCACTTCGTATGACCCAGATCCACTTTTTCGTGCAGGCGCAATACTTTAAACAGAAGGAGTCGAAAAAAACGCAAAACGCATTGGTACGAGGCCATCAGTCTTGTTCTCAACTTTCCATTTGTGAAGGAAGTCTCGCAGAATTGCTTCGTTTTTGACGTTGTCAAGTGCAAAAATTGAGGAAGTATCGCAGACTTGCTGCGTTTTTGATGT